GTCTACCAGTATGTTTACTTTAACATCCATTCCATGCAGGCATGTTTGTATTTGGTCCATATCTTGGATACAGCTGACTGTGAACAGCCCACATCTTTAGCAACCATGCATGAAGAGTTACCTTCTTCAAGAAGTTTCACAATCCTCTCTTTGTTTCAAGAGACATTTCTCTTGTTGGAGCCATGGTTGTTGCCACTCCACTTGGTCCAGCAGCCCTCCAAGGTGTCATGACTGCAGGTGTTTTTAACTGCAGACTAACGAGCAGATCTAATCTGAGGCAGGTGTCCATTTAGGGAAAGGAAACTGACTGGGTGTGTCCTTATTTTCTACCTCCAGTTTGAGTGATTCCATTCTATTTTCCTCAGAATTGAGTGATTCTATATTTTTTTCCTGTGCTTGGTCAATAAAAGTAACATTCACTGACTTCCACAATGTTTTCTCTTCATTTCTTTGAGTGTTCCTGAAAGACAACAAGTTACACTTTGGACTGACCTTATTAATGTATCATGTTTTTGATCTGAGTTTGTTTTACAGAATGAAATGTCTGAATGAGCGCTCATCAGAGACTGCTGATTCCAGACTTTTTGCCACGAGTTGTAGGACTTGTGTTAAAGTCATTCTGTTGTTTTTATGTGTTAAAATCTCAGACAGGTTTCATTTCTGTCTTCCTGCCCACCACAGAGGGGGTCCGCTCAGCTCTCCTGTTACTGATCATTAAATATCAGGCAAGAACGTCATTAAAACAATGACATAAATCACTAAATAAGCTCTCAGGTCCCACTTAGCAAAAGGTAGTGCATGCTTTACTTTTTATGTACTTACCTGAGACATACTTAACCAAGTTTATCTACTTGGCTTGAACTAAAAGTATACTTAGAAGATTACTTTTAGTATACTTCTGAGTATACTTTCATAAATGTATTGTGTGGATCAATTTAGTCCTAGAAGTATACTTATTAGTAAACTGCTAATACAGTATATCAGTGTACATGGTAAATAAAATTATGCTTAGGGAATTACACTTTTAAATATTTTAGTATACTTAATGACATGTACTTAAAGTATACTTCTTTTTGGTAAATTTATAAACTTAAAAAGACATAAGAGTATACTTAAAGTGTACTTTTAATTAAATTAAATTAAAGTCCCAATTTAGTACGATTAGTATGCTTTCTAGTACACTACAAGTACATGGTGCTTAGTATACTTTATATACTTAAACTTATACTCAAATATATTTGATGAACTTCAAGTTTACTACTGTTTGTTATACTTAATGTATACTTTTTATAAACTTTTAAAAAGTCCCAATTTAGTAAAAGCGAGTATTAAATGAGTACTTTCTAGTGCACTACAAGTAAATGGTCCTTAGTATACTTTAAATACTTAAACTTATACTCAAATATACTTATTAAAATGAACTTCAAGTATTCTACTGTTTGTTATACTTAATGTATATTTTTATTAACTTGTAAATAATCCCAATTTAATAAAGGTGAGTATTAAATTAGTATACTTTCTAGTACACTACAAGTAAATGGTCCTTAGTATACTTTAAATACTTAAACTTATACTCAAATATACTTGATGAACTTCAAGTTTACTACTGTTATACTTAATGCATACTTTTTATAAACTTAAAAGTCCTAATTTAGTAAAAGCGAGTATTAAATGAGTACTTTCTAGTACACTACAAGTAAATGGTCCTTAGTATACTTGATAT